GACACAGGGAATTATAGACCAATCGGACAAACTTCAATAGTGGGAAAAATACTGGAGCAAATTATTAAACAATCAGATTGTAAGCGCCTAAAGAATAATAGAGTATAAGGAATAGCCAACATGGATTTGTCAAGAACAAATCATGCCACACCAGCCTCCTCCTCTGACAGGGTTACTGGCCTAGTGCAGAGGGGGAGACTGTAGGTGTGATGCATCTTGATTTTGTAAGGCTTTTAATATAGTCCTACCTAACATTCTCATAAGCAAACCATGGAAATGTAGTCTAGATAAATTTACTAGGGTGGGAGCACAATTGGATGAAGGACCATACTCAGAGTAGTTGTTAATGGTTTGAAGTCAAACTAGGGATGTATCTATTGTATCCCATTGGGGTCAATCCTGGGTCCAGTGCTATTCACTGTTCTCATTAATGACTTGGTTAATGGAATAGAGAGTATTCTTATAACATTTGTGGATGACAGCAATCTGGGAGTAGTTGCAAACACTTTGGAGAACAGGAGTTGAATTCAAAATGACCTTGACAAATTAGAGATTCAGTAAAGACAAGTGAAAAGTACTATGCTTAGGAAGAAAAAAAATCAAATGTACAACTGCAAAGTGGGAAATAACTGGTAGGCAGTAGTATTGCTGAAAAGGAGCTGGGGGTAACAGTGGATCACGAATATGAGTCAGCAATGTGACACAGTTGCGAAAAAAAAAAGCTAATCTGGGGTATTTTAAAAGGAATTTCATATCTAAGATGTGGGACATAATTGTCCCACTCTACTCAGCACTGGCAAGGCCTCAGCTGGAATACTTTGTCCAGTTCCAGATGCCACTCTTAAGGGAAAATGTAGACCAATTGGAGAGAGTCCAGAGGAGAGCAACAAAGATGATAAAAGGTTTAGAAAACTTGACCTATGAGGAATGGTTAAAAAAAATCTGGGCATGTTTAGTCTTCAGGAAAGGAGACTGAGCGGGGACCTGATAACATTTCAAATATGTTAAGGGCTTTTATGAAGAGGACAGTGATCAGTTGTTCATGTCCACTGAAGGCAGGACAAAAAGTAAGTGGTTTAATCTGCAGCGAGGAAGATTTAGGTTTACTAGGAAAATCTTTCTAATTATAAGGATAGTTAAGCAGTGGGCTAGCCTTCCAAAGGAGGTTGTGGAATCCCCTCATAGAAGGTTTTTAAGAACAGGTTGGATAAATTCCTGTCAGGGATGGTCTAGGTCAGCAGTTCTCAAACTTCATTGCGCCGCCACTTCCTTCTGACAACAAAAAAAATAGTACATGACCCCAGGAGGGAGACCGAAGCCTAAGCCCACCTGAGCCCTGCCACGCCGGGCCGGGCTGGGGGGACAAAGCCAGAGTCCCACCGCCCCATGCTCAGGGGCTAAAGCCGAAGCCCAAGGGCTACAGCCCCAGGTGGTGGGACTCAGGCTTGGCTTCAGCCCTGGGTCCCAGCAAGTCTAACGCCAGCCCTGGTGACCCCATTAAAACGGGGTTGCGACCCAATTTGGGGTCCCAACCCACAGTTTGAAAACCATTGGTCTAGGTGTACTTGGTCCTACTGTAGCTCAGTGGGCTGGATGATCTCTCAAGGACCCCTCCAGCCCTACATTTCTGTAATTTTATGAAAGATGGCATGTCTAAAAGCATTCATACTCTATCATGCTGAAGCATTGGAACAGTGCTGACTAGTGAGATGAGTACTCCCTACTGAATTGTCAACACTTAAGGATTTCTTAAATATCTCCCATCCAAGCCCGACCTTCCTTATCTTTAGAGAAATGTCAAGATCACAAGCCAAAGTGTCAAGGATTCCTAGCAGATTGATACATGGCAGCTAACTCTCAAATCAAAAAAGGATGGTAATACGAAATGAATGTTAAGTATAAGCTGTTGTGAAATCTCCCATAGAAACAGAAGCTGGATGTATTAACTTGGCTGTGGAAGTACTTGGATTGATTTGGGCTATGAATTGAAGGTAGCTATCTGGAGTCCTTCCAAGAACAGCCATCGAATGAACTACTGATGAACATTAGGAAAAAACCAACATTTCCATTGAGATCACTAGCAGTAGTTTTAAAAGCAATCTTTGTTTAAAACAACTGGGTTATATATTTTAGCTGCTGCAAGCTGTCAGTTTCCAGAGGCCAGAAGGCTAGTGGTGCGTCCTGCATTGGTGCTTTTAGAAGACTGTAAGGCACCATCCATAAAACCTAGTTTTTACTTTGTCAAGTGGGACTTTAGCAAATCTTTCACTGAAGGAGCAGCAAAGCTAAAAGGAATATGAAGCAACCTTTCCTGTGCTACAAGGGCACTGCAGTCCCTTGGGAAGCAGTAGTTGAGTTTAATCCTTCCTTCAGCTGCCTTCAATATGCATGTCATTCTTTGTACAGGAGTTCTTAGCTCTGTGTGTGTTACAAATCTGCTGTGTTCTCTCAAATCCTTTGCTGAGCCTCAATAGCTTATGTTGTGGTGCAGTTCAACAGTTGGGGAACTGCTGGTATTTTAATAGTAGGGTTTTTAAAATTTAAATTGTAATAATTAAAAATATAAGTCCTAGGAAAGGTGCAATGGGACTCTAGAGGGAAAGTGTGAGCTATATACTTGTTCTGCTGTGCGTGAATATTTTGAAGCTATGTTATAAAGAAGCAGTGCAATGTAATTTAAGCCTTCGTTGGGTTCTTTGACAGTCATATAGTTCCTTATCAGCTGATGACACCCAGTTATGACAAAAACTTGAGTGCCTCTTCTCTCTTGAGAGCTATAAAGCTCCCAAAGACATTTTTTGCCTGCAGTAGCCTTCCAATAGAGAGATCTCTTACATAATTACTTAGATACTACTGAGATCATGCCCTGTAATTACTAGGAAAGGTGGTCTTACGGTTAAGGTACTGGTCAGAGTCAGAAGATCTGATTTTCTTTCCTGGTTTCTGTGTGATTTTTGGCAAGTTTTCTTATCTGTAAAATAGGGTTAATAATCTTCCTCCTAGGGGGAATTCCAAAACTATAAAAATTGACATTTGTAAAATGTGTGGAGATCTTTGAATGGAAAGGGATATAGAAATGTAAAGTAGTAGTAATGTACCTACAGTAGAAGTCTATAAGAGACAGATCAAGAACCAGTACTGACTGTTTTATCTTACTTGCATTTCCCAAATACTTTAGTAGAGTTTTTACAGTCCAGGTCATGTAGTTAAAAGGCACTGACATGTACGAGGTGCCCTGACTAAGGGAATTGCAGATAAATTGCACAATGTGGCTTTCAGTGAAATAGAACTCTTGATAACCCTTTTGCTGTGAATCCAGCCTTATGGATGAATGAAGATAGAATGCTTATGGAATGAAGATGAAGCAGTTAAAGGGAATTCCTTGTTGACATGTAGAAAGAGTGAAACTTGGACAGGAATGGTTTAGTTTGCATGTGCACCCCACCAATCTGAATCAGAAACGTTTGTGGCCCTACACTATATTTTAAGATTTAATAGTTACCCACCATATCCAAGTGGGTCTGACACTCACTGGGATAAAATATTGCTGTAAAGTTAAAATTAGTAGCACAAAATAAATGTTACCATCGTTACTGGCAAATAGAAAATCCCATATATTTCGTTAGTATTTGCTCCTAGTAAATAATTTGAACACTGTATCCGTTTTCCCCTCCTGGGAAATTGACTGTTGTTTAATGTGGCCAGCATTGTGTAGAACGGGGGCTGCATTAATGATGCCCTGTCCCTGTTCTTGCCCACTTGTGTTTGATCCTGTAGTCAGCTGCAGAGTAATGTATGAAGTGACAAGGATGGTATCTTGATTGTATCCAGCTGCCTGGAACAAGTCAAGGGCAAAGACGCCTGTCATGTAGTAATAGCTTCACCAAAGCACCCATTAAAGAATATAAAGAAATATAACATGTAGCTTTTGAAAATGTCCCTGTTAAAGGAAAGGGGCGTATTAAATCCAAAGTCACCCCTGAAAGCAGATTAGGTTGTAGCCATAACCACCATGTATAAAGTTTCATTTTAACCATGCTTGGCTCTTAAACAATGTTAACTCTTTTTGAGCAGAAAAGTTGTGTTCCCTTTAACAGGAAAATTGGTGCTGTTTTCCTGTCTTCTTGCATTAATTAAAGAGCCACATCCACACTTGGAAATGTCGGGTTCTTTTGAAACAAACTCAAAATAAAACAGTTACTTATGTGTATTTCCTTCCCAGACATTCATTATTTCAGAATTCCTTGTTTCCCAATAGAAGCTTCTTCCAGCACTGTGAATTTTAATGTCACAAATGCTCACATTAGAGTCACAGAATGAACTGAGTAGCAGCAGTTTGAAAGATGAAGCTGTTAGGATCATTTAAGGAAGCACGTGGGAGCTTGGAAGAAATGGGAGGAAATGAAGGGGCAGAAATAGGTTGAGTCAGGGGAAGCTTCCTAATGGAGAAATTTGTTAGTTTGTGTTATAATTTTCTAAGGGAAATGATAGAAGCCTCTTGGGCCATTTAAAACTAGACTGGAGAAAGCAGTAGAAAATAAAGAACAATCCTTCAATGGCCCGAGAGAAAGAACCCTAATAGGTTGGAACCCAGTAGGTTTTTTCCATCCCTAGCTTCTGAATTTAACACCTAACTCAGAGAATTTGCAGTGGTGGGAAAATGTGTAAAAAATGTAAGTTAAATAGCTACGCTCTTGTTCAGAGCTATAAAAACTCATCAAAAGATATTTGTTTACTAAGCAAGATGAACTGTACAAAGCATGGGGACTTAACAGCTACTACACAACAAAAATGTCCATAAATGTACAATGCATTCTTCCAAGATCTAAATGTTAGGCTGCCTCGCCTGCTGGAGTATTTTTCCCTATGGGAGTTGGTGGAGTGGTCCAGGGAACACCTATAATTGTAACTTCTCTAAGTAGCTTCCCTGAATCGTCTCAATTGAGTTAGCTCACTGTTTGTGCCAGTGCTGGCTTTAACACCTCTGTTACTCTCTGCAGGTTTGGCGGGAGTTTCCTGACAGGCTGGTTGGGTATCCAGGTCGCCTGCATCTGTGGGACCATGAGATGAACAAATGGAAGTATGAATCAGAGTGGACCAATGAAGTCTCCATGGTGCTTACTGGAGCAGCTTTTTATCACAAGGTAGCACTGATTTCCAAGATAATTAGGACGTTTGTGGACCATGCAGTGTCCTATAAGATGATATAATGATATTTCATGTCAGACTAACATTTCTGATCGTTTTTCATTTGAGAATTCAAGTCTTAGTTTTATTGTGCTGCCTTTTTGGTCATTTACTATAGATGGCATTGCAAAACTTTTAAAAGCGGTATAATATTGATGGCACAGGAAGGTACTGTGTGAATGGTGTGTGTGGGGAGGGGGTTAAATAGGAAAAAAAATGAAAAATCAATGTATTTTTTATATTCTGATAGCACCCACATTGAGCTAGGTACTGTACAAATATATAGGAAGATGTGGTCCCTGCCCTGAAGAGCTTGCAATTTAATATACAACTTTTGGGAAACTCCCAACTTATACATGAACTTTCAAAGGTCTTTCTCAACCCCCAACCCACCCTTGCAGTCTTACCCTAATTATGGCAATGCAATTGTGTTTAAAAATATGGTCCTTTATTTACAAAGAGATGCTCCTCTACTTGGGCATCTAAATAAAGTGGCCAGATTTTCAGATGGGCTCAGCAGCTTCCACTGAGAATAAACTGGGCCTATTTGAAAATCTGGCTCTAATGTTTGATCCCTTTCCCTCTTTGTTGTCTTTTGTCAGTGGTGGCCTCTCTATACCTTTTTGTGGCGGCACAAACTATTACCTGATGCATTCTTAGAAAGTGAGAAGGTTCAGGCACCCTAAGAGCAAGCAAGGTGCATGGAGGTGCAGAAGAGACTCCAACAATACACCATATTAAATATTTAAAAGGATGGGGTGTGTTTTTGTCCACATCTGTAGCTCTGTTGTTTGGGGTTCATTTTGTGAGTCTGTGGTTACAGTTTCTAGAGCAATGCAAAAACCAGTTGAAGACCTTCCTAAAGCTATATTCTCCTGCTCTTGCTATAGAAACAACTATTCTGTCTAGAACTATTTTGGTGAACTTATAGAAAAACACAATTAAATAGTAAAAGTTTGTGGGACGTGTTATTGCACAGTGAATATAGAAGTGCAATTAAAGTTTTAAAAGAAGAAAAGCAAATGCAGAAATATTTCCTTTTTCTACACATGGTGTGGCAAAGAAGGCATAGTTGTTAGGCACACAAAGATGGCTCTCTATTTGTGCATAGCAGGCTAAAGCTGTGACTGGCTAAAAGGAAGCAGCAACTCTTTCACTTTTAAGGTGAAATGTCACAAATGCAGCTCCAACCGCTAGACTCTGAGGAGCAGGGTTTGTTCACATTCCATTCCTTAGTTGTCTGCTGTTCCCAATAACTGGAATATTTTGCAGGCAGGCAGTCACTGTAATTGTATTTAAAGTTGCATTCTCCTTTCTCCCCTGTCCCTCGCCTTTCTATCCTGCAGTATTTTAACTACCTTTACACCTACAAAATGCCTGGAGACATCAAGAACTGGGTGGACGCCCACATGAATTGTGAAGATATCGCCATGAATTTTCTAGTGGCAAATGTTACTGGCAAAGCAGTTATTAAGGTCTGATTTTCAGCAACTTTTATCTGATGTATCTCTCTAATGCAAACATGTCACAAATTGATATGTAAGTTTAGTTTAGTGGGTTTTGAATATCCTCCTTTATCTGCTTTCTTCCTCTCATTTACCTCTGGAATGGTTCTGTTTCCCTTCCACAGTAGGAATAGCCCAGTTCATTGAGACTAGCATGCCAGTTGGGAGCACAGGATTGACTATTGATCATTGTGGCTGCCTACACAGAGAGGATAGGTTAAATTATAAAAAAAATATTTTTTGAGACTGCCAGGGGGAAAAAATCTCCAACTATCCTGTCCCTGTGTATTGTGACTGGCAACAGCTGATTTATAGGAATGTTAATTGCAAGAATGTTAATTGCAAGATCAGTTTTAAATGAACTTTTTATCCCTGAATTAATTTCCTGACATATTTCGACATGTTTTCAGGTCTGGACATTCACTCTGTACATTCATTTCAAAGTGTGTCAACTTGGAATGAGATTTAGAGGCTGCCAGGCATTACTTCAATTAGCAAGGTCCGCTTTCCCGCCTGTCTATCATCATTTACCGGGACTGGTGGCTGTGTTTCCTAGAAAAGTCTTTAGAAGATAAAGTGTGTGTTTTTTCTGAAAAAGTTTGTGAGCTGTACAAGGGCACTGTAGAGTAATTTGGCACCTCAATGCAATTGGGAAAGTCTTGCAGAGTTTGCCAGTCAGCTATTAACTCAAGTGAGCAAAAGAGCGTCTGTTGGATTAAGGTTACGGTGAAGTATGGGAAGCTATATTTCATCACTGTTATGGCTGCAAGAACAAATGGTGTTTATACAGGGACCTTGGCAGTGAGAAAACAGTCATTAAACAGGAATTAAGGAGCTTGTCATCGCCACTTCTTTTCAGTTACAGAAGGCAAAACCCCTCCAAACCATTTTTATTGGGCCCCTGTGAATTTTGCAGTTAGCCGGGCCAGATGGAGCTGAATGGGGGAATGGCATGGCTTTTTTTAGTTTTCGAGAGTGCTCGACTTACACTGCAGGCATGTTCAGAGGCATTGCTATACTTTCCAACCAAGGGGATTAATATCCCTTCTGTCGATGACGTCTGTCGTGCCTTTGTGCAGGTGACCCCACGAAAGAAGTTTAAATGTCCAGAGTGCACAGCCATAGATGGATTGTCGCTGGACCAGACACACATGGTGGAAAGGTGAGTGGGCCTCCTTTCATTGCTGAGGGTGCCTCACTGTGATTCCCAGGGCCAGTTTCTGGGTCTCTCTGAAATTAGGACTAAAAGTGCACACTGCCCATATTCCTGAACTCTGAAATTGCTGTCTAAATCTGGTCTACCCACGTATGGGGTCATTCCTGCAATGGGTAATAGGGCGCACTGCACATGATCTGTAGTGACAAGTAATCTGCTTAAAGGAAGAGCTTTGAAAGGGCACCCAGTTCAACAGCTCGGTTGTAAAACACATAGATTGTATGAAATTTAGGTTGCCAACAATATTTTTTATACAAATTTTTCATTTTATGATGGAAATTTAAATGTAATGAATGTTCAAACATTTTTAAAAACACAGGAAGTTGATAAACTGTCAGAGAGCAATTGGCCAACAAGGATAAAAATGACTGATAAAGGGAAAGTGTTATTGATGCAATAATAACTGATGTTTATACAGTCTCTTTCCTCCAAAGATCCCAAAGCCCACTTCTCCTGCTGAAGTGCAGTCACCTGTGTGGTTGAACATGGCAGCTATTTAACAGTGGTTGCAACATTATATGACAGGGAGAATTATTTTTGAAAGGTGATATGTATTTGGAGAGGCAGTTTTGTAAAGGGTTTAGAGGAAAATATTGGGAATCAGAAGACATCTGAGTTCTGTTCTGCACTCTGCAGTTGACTAGTTTTGTAACTTTGGGAAAGCCACTAAAGCTCTCTGTGCCTCAGCTTCTCAACAGGGAAAATATTTACTTACCTTTTGTAAAGTGCTTTGAGATGCTTGTATAGAAAGGGCTATCTGAGAATAAAATATTACTTCTTAATTATTTGTTTGGAATTTAGCCAGAATCCCAGAACTGACACACCTACATACCCCAAGCATGTCCACATGAGCTCTTTAGTCTATTGTCTCCTCTGCAGGTGTCATGGCTATAGTCTGCTGAGTGGTTAGTATATATGATCCTTCCTTCCTTCCAAGATCAGTTATACTGCTGCATATTTTGTGTTCAGACTACTTTTTATCAGTCATTCTCACTTTGTCAAGTGCACGGAATAATGCATTTGGTCACAAACACATCTGGAGAAAAATAATCTGAAATGCGCACATGCCTCCCCTTCATGGGAGGAAGAAACAATAATGCCGTGGGAGATCTACACTAGTGATGATAGTAAACAACAAATTAGACATGTGTTTGTGGCTGATAGGGCAGTAAAATAGGCCAATGCAAGTCTTAGCTGCAGGGGCATCAAGTCATGAAACAGGAAGGAAATTGTCTAGCTGTAGATATTTTGAATGCACTTATCAGCATAACATCTACAGACCCTCTCCACGTTGCACTGATGAGACTGCACCTGGAACACTGCATTCATTTGTGTGCTCTTCATTACTAGAAAGATATTGACATACTGAAGTGAGTTCAGTGAATAGCTGCAAAAGTGGTTAGTAGGCTGGAAGGATTGATTTATGACACGAGATTAAAAGAGCTAAGTATATACAGCTTTGCTAAATGACGACTAAATGGAGATATAACAGTCTTCAGGTACCAAAGAGTGTAAATACCGAGGACAGAGATGAGTTATTCACAGTGCTACAAGAATATATTACTCTAGAAGGGATTAAATTAAGAAAAGGAAAAAGTCAGATGAAAATCAGGAAGTACTTCCTAACAGTGAGATCTGTTATTGTATAGAATAATTTCTCAAGGAAGGAGTATGGAAGCCTTGTGAAATTTAAATGTAAACTGGATGAAGTACTAGAAAATTTATTGTAGGGAACAATCCTGTATTGGCTGAAGAATGGACTACATGGATTTAGTAGTTCTTTCCTATTATCGTTGTTGTTTGTATTGCAGTAATACCTAGGAGTTTGTTATGGGCCAGGACCCTATTACACTTAGGAAGGAAAAATCATATGCACCATTCCAAAATAGGGAATAACTGGGTAGGCAGTACTACTGCAGAAAAGAATCTAGGGGTTATGTTGGCTCATATTCAATTTGTGATCCACTAATGTGATGCAGTTGCGAAAAAGGCAAATACCATTCTGGGGTGTATTAATAGGAATGTAATATGTAAGCTGTGGTAGGTAATTATCCCGTTCTACTTGGCACTGGTGAGGCCTCAGCTGGGTACTGTGTCCAGTTTGGGGCATCACACTTTAAGAAAGATGTGGACAAATTGGGGAGAGTCCAGAGGAGAGCAACACAAATGAGGAAAGGTTAAAAAAACTGGGCATGTTTAGTCTTGAGAAAAGAAGACTGAGAGGGAACCTGATACGTTTTCAATTGTATTAAGGGCTGTTATAAAGCGGACAGTGATCAATTGTTCTCTGTATCCACTGAATGTATGACAACAAATAACTAACTGGCTTAATCTGCAGCAAGGAAGATTTAGGTTGGATATTAGGAAAAACGTTGTAACTATAAAGATAGGTGAGCACTGGACTAGGCTTCCAGGTGAGATTGTGGAATCCCCATCATTGGAGGTTTTTAAGAACAGATTGGACAAACATCTGTCAGGGATGATGTTAGGTATACTTGGTCCTACCTCAGCTCAGGTGGCTGGATTAAATGTCCTCTCAGGTCTCTTCCAGTCTTGTATATCTGTGGTTCTATGCTAGTCCCTTTAAAACACACACAGCAAAAACGCAGTCTCTGTCCCAAAGAACATTATAATTTTATCAAAAGGATATGTTCTCTATCATGTAACCATATTGGTGTCCCAAAAGTAAAATGTTACTGACAGTTTAGTGAGTATACTCTCAAACTGTGTTCTTCCCCACATTTAAGTTTCTACCAGTGGAGATAACTAAGCTGGAGAAAGTGTCAGAAAGTAATAGCAAATCAAACTTGTTTATAAAACTACTTGATTATCCAGCTAGAGGAATTTAGAAAGGAATGTAGCAACTGCACCTTGAAGAAGAACTGCAGTGATACACAACTGGGATATAGTCATTCTTGATTTTTATATTTTAAAGATTGCCCTTACTGTTTAGGTTGACCTGGCTTCAGCAGTATAAACCATTACTTGTTGTAAGAGTGTGAGCTGACATACCAGTCAACTGCCAGGGTCCATGTAGTCCCATGTTCCTACTGTCTATTTTAAATTAGTGGGCGCTAGCTGAAAAACTTGCATTTTTTTTTAATGGACTCCCATAAGCTGCCCATTTGTTTTAATGGGATAATAAACCACAGGATTCTCAGTGCAAGTTCCCATTAACTTCGCAATGGATAGAACTCTGATTTGGTTTCAGGGCTTAGCATCCATACCTATAATTCATGCAGACACTAGTCAGATATGTCAACTGCCTTCTGTTATGTTACGAGAGACTCTAAATGAGAGAGGTGCCCTTGACAACAAGAAACTTTGAAGAACAATTGTAATGTCCAGTGCCCAGAATGATGCCCTTGGGTATATGACAGTGTTCCATAACAGGTCCATTTGCATACCAGACTACTGATTCCCTGGACTGCAGAAGTTCTGACACACGTTGGTCTTGACATATGAGTTAGTACCAAGCCCAAATGACCGGGGATCAATCTATTGTTGTGAAATGGATGGTGTACAGGGCTAGTAATGGTGGTACAGAGTTTTTCCTTTGGGGTTTCTTTTTCAAAACCAGCACAGTGACCCACAGATACCAGGTGATGGCTGTTTAGTGACATGTGAAAAGAATTGGTGATCTTCATCCTATTCCTGGAGGACAGATGATCACCCGGCAAAACCATCTGTGAGTGGGCCCATTGTTGGCAGTCTCAGCAGGGAGAAAAGAGTGACTAGATGATGAAAACTGAACTCTTTTCTTGTCTCAGAGGTTATGCTAAAATTAGGTGTGGTTACAGGGGAGAGAATTGATTCAAAGGCTTGATTGTCCAGAAAGCTGATCCAATCTGCTAAAAAGCCAACTAAGATCTTGTTTTTCAGTTCACACTAACTTAATTTCATGTTGAGCACAATTCTGTGTTGTTGGCAAAGTAAGAAAAAGATGAAATAATTCTTGGAAGCAAAGATGCGTGTGTTAATTTAAATGTGCAGAGCTATGAAAGTAGCCAGCCAAAACACCCGCCCCTCTGTATGAGATGACCTACTGTGTTTTCTTGGCTTCCGAGCCAAAAATGTTTAATGCTTTAGGTGTTTGTGTTGTTTTGTGTTGTCCAGAAGTGGCAGATCCTGTAGAATGCAAGCTGGACCTGTTAAGCTCCATGCAGGAGATGAAAGCTCCCCTCCTGGGGAGGCTCTTCTCGCCATAGACACATTGTGTGACTTGTGTCTGACACATTTTTTTTTTTTTAAATGCTGCTCTTCAGCCTTGTTCTGATGTTTGCTGAGAAATGACTTTTGTGAGTGAAGGTGAAGGTTCATAAAGGATTTTAATTTGGATTTTTCCTTTTATAATTTCTTTTAAAAATGAAGCAGCTTTCATGATGGTTACATGTGCTATATTGGCATTGCATAGTCTATCCCCAGAATAAGTACAGCATGAGCCACAGCAATGTAAGATTTCCCTACACTGTTTTCTGCCATTCTGCCTAATCTTTGACCTAGATGGATGACCTCTGGAGGGAAGAGGATCCGTTCAGTTTTGGTTTTTGCTGTTGGGCTGCCATTTAGTGCCAGTTGTGACAGTGGCTTTTATGATGTGGACACCTGCCCATTAGGAACTAGACTGAGACAACTAACTGATTCCACGCAGGCCACCAAACAGTTGCTATGTTACAATAACTTTCAGTCATTATTAGTTGCCTATTTGTTTTAATGGGATAATAAACATTAATATATAATATTATAATAATATTATAACATTAATATATAATAATATAATAACAGGACATATCTGTTGACATATCTGTTGAATCAGTAACCTAGAAGTGAAAGGCTCTGTATTCCATAAGCCATTGAGGGACAGCAGTTGTACAAACGTTTCACACACCATTCTTCTAGTCCAGGGGTAGGCAACCTATGGCACGCGTGCCGAAGGCCGCACACGAGCTGATTTTCAGTGGCGCTCACACTGCCCGGGTCCTGGCCACCAGTCCAGGGGGCTCTGCATTTTAATTTAATTTTAATTTAAGATTCTTAAACATTTTAAAAACCTTCTTTACTTTACATACAATAATAGTTTAGTTATATATTATAAACTTATAGAAAGAGACCTAAAAACATTAAAATGTATTACTGGCACACAAAACCTTAAATTAGGGTGAATAAATGAAGATTCGGCATACCACTTCTGAAAGGTTGCCGACCCCTGTTCTAGTCCATCTAGCTCATGGAACTCTGTGCTATTCCCTCTGCAGGACTTCAACACACAACTTGGATTATGCACCCCAGCCAAGATTTTCAAAAGTAACTAGTGATTCAGTTTTTGAGAGGGTGGATTTTCGGCACTTTCTGAAAATCAGGGCCTTTGATGGTGGCTCAGAGTGGACACCCAAAAATTGAGGCACTAAAAATCACTTTGAAAATCTTGACCCTGAATCCTAGTCTGCTGCACTCCATGGGCTGGTCTACACTGGGGGCGGGGGGGATCGATCCAAGATACGCAACTTCAGCTACGCGAATAGCGTAGCTGAAGCCGAAGTATCTTGGATCGAATTACCTGGGGTCCACACGGCGCGGGATCGACGGCCGTGGCTCCCCCGTCGACTGCGCTACCGCCGCTCGCTCTGGTGGAGTTCCGGAGTCGATGGTGAGTGCGTTCGGGAATCGATATATCGCGTCTTAATGAGACGCGATATATTGATCCCGGATAAATCGATTGCTACCCGCCGATACGGCGGGTAGTGAAGACGTACCCCATGTTGTTCTAGTCCTACTTCTCTAGTCCCCAGGTTCCTCTCTCTGCCAGTGCACCCTAACTAGGCCCTACAACAGCCCTGGTTAGTCCACATTGTGGATAGCTGGTTCTCTCTGTCCCTCAGTCCTGACCTACAGTTCACTTACTATTCCAGGCCTGGGCCTTTCCTGAACAGAGAATATTTGTGCCAATTTATCAGGTGTTCTGTGATGCACACTGTTGCTCCCATCTTACCCCCCAAACTCCTTCTCATTTGTTTCCTACTGTAAGGATTTGAACACCTTTGGGGGGGGAAAGAGGGCGATGGCAGAGCATGAATCATCTGCACTGCTTAGCTTTGTACCCTTTCCACATTTTTAAGCCAGTACGAGAGTGACTATTACAGGTTGAAAACAACTGTGCAGAAATGTAGCACTTTCAAAAATTCTGACTGTTTTCATTTGTTTACTCTTATTGTAGTTAAATAGGGAGCTAGAGGATGGCTTAAAAGATGAAGAATTAACCTTTGAAATCCAGTCTTGAGAGCAGGGCCGGCTCTAGGCACCAGCAAAACAAGCTGGTGCTTGGGGCGGCACATTTTTAGGGGCGGCATGGCCGGCGCCAGAATGCCGCCCCTAAAAATGTGCCGCGGCCGCCCTAGCTCACCTCCGCTGCTACTGCCTGGGAGGGAGGGGGAGATCCCGAGCGGCCGCAGTGCGCGAAACAGCTGTTTCGCGCGCCGCTGCTCCCCCTCCCTCCCAGGCTTGAGAGCCTGGGAGGGAGGGGGAGAAGCGGCGCCCGCGCCGCGGCC